GGTTCCTTTTTCTCTTCAAGTTTTACTTCAACCTTAGGTTCCGGTTTGACTTCAGTTTCTCCTTCAATCTGAGGTTCCCGACGTCTTGGGATACCGTCCTTTGAACCGGAACTTGGCCCAGAGGCCACCATTGGCTCTTCATCGGGATCAAAAGGTTGAGCTGGTACTTCTAACTTACTATCAGGCTGAATTGTTTTCTTGACAATCTTCTTGGAATCAGGCTTGGCCGATTTCGGCACCTCTTCAGGCTTAGGCTCTGATCCTTTGAATCTCTTGCAACCTTCTTTGTTGGTGTGTGGTCGATGTTTACCATTGCATGCTGGGCATGTGATGTCTTCGGACTGAAAGCTGTACATCGGTTTCCAACTGGAAGTAGCAAGAGCCATAATGTCAAGGACTGGATGGTTGGATGTACTGACCGCCAATGCGGTGCGCTGCATTCCAAACAGTGGACAAGTCAGGAACTCACCTACAGGAGTGTGCTCAATGTTCATGCGAAGATTCCTCATTTGTTCAACTGAAAAGAGGATAGGAACCTTACCTTTGTCCAGGATGTCAACGCATGTTGTGATCCAACCAGTTTGTGCACGATCATTGCGAAAATGAATCACTAACCTTTCCTTGACTGTAGATTGTTCTCCATTGGCAAATGAAAACTTACTTGAACACGGTTGCTTAGAAAACCAAATGTGATCACGCTTGGGATGTTGTTGGCAAGCCTGTACAAGGCGTTCAATGGCAAAGCGGGATCCCATGGCTCGAGTACAACCTGAGTCAAGGATGACATAAGTCGGATGAGAACCTAAATCTACATATTCACAAAGCAATGCTTGTTGGGCACCATGATCATAATTTAGGAATACACACTCTTCCGTAGAGACGGAATCGAGCGGGCTTGTGCGCGGCTGAAACGAATGCAGATCACCGTTTCCGGTAGAAACACTCTTCTCAACTTGGCGAATGCTCTTCAATAGGGACCTGTTCAAATCAGAAAAGCACTGGTACATCACAGACACGAACAGAAGCACGAATGTGAGGGCCTCTACAAGTTCGTGTCCGAACAATCGGAACAAGCGGATGCCTGAAAAACAGAACCGGTTGATCTTGTCGGTCTGTCCGTCCTCGAAATTGTCGTCTGAATGCTTGTCCTCGGAGTCGGTCAGTTCCTCAGCGGAAACAAAATACGACCAATTGTACCAATCACCTTGGGAGTAATCTCCGTCATATCCATAGTAGGATTCATAACCTGACCAGTCATCTGTCCAGTATGTGTCATAGTCGTAACTCCAGCTTTCTTCGGCATGGGCTGTTTCTTGTTTTTCAGGGGCATGTGATGCACTGGATGATGCAGCCTGTGCTACATTAGCTTGTGGAGGTTGTGACAAAAATGGATTGGTTCCTCCTTTGTTCTTCGCATCACCTTTTCCTTTTCCTTTCCATGAAGGCATTCCTTTGAAAGAATCCTTTCCTTTCATCATTCCTTTCTTGCCCTTTTTACCTTTTCCTTTACCCTTGCCTTTTCCCCAGAAAGCCGTGTCTTGCTGGTCATCTTCCCATGCTGCAAAACCTTTGCCTTTTGACCTCGAGCGGAAGCCGGGTCTTGATTTCTTTCCTCCTTTCTTGCCATAACCTTTTGGTCTACCTTTCTTGAAGGACCTGCCGTAGATGCGGCGCTTAGAGTATGAACCCTTGGCGCTGAGAACCCAGAACTCGTTCTCCGTGTACAGACCTGTGAAACCTTCTTCACCCGTCTCTTCATCGAAGACCCAAAATCCGTACTCACCTTCTTCGGTCTCGCCCTCGTCGATGACGTAGAAGTTGGACCGCTTGCGGTGCGTGATATTTGGGTCTGCAACACCTGTGCGGGAAACGGCAAAAAGTTCTAAGAACAGCTGTTTCACTTGGAGATAGGTGTATTGAGGCATTGCAATCTGACGGATGTTCATGGACGAGACAAAGCGCTCTCGCTGTTGCTCGTTGAGGTCTGCTTGCACTAAAAAAATCAGTGACATCAAATTGTCTGACAATGGAAACTGCTGTGCATGTCTGGTCCTTCTATTGGTTATGGTCTGTTCTCTCAGTTCTTGTTGATAAGCTAGCTTATCTTCATCTGTTACTATCTGGTTATAGTGCAGTCTTTGCTCATCTGTGAGTGCTGCCGTAAATGCCTGAGTGCCTGCCTCGGGAAGATCGGATATGTCCAGCAGATCGGACCAAGAAGCCAACAAACGCTTCTGCGCGATCTCAAATCGCCCTATCCAGTGCACGAATTCGCTCTGGCCTCGATATGTGCGAAACATCTGGAGGAATCGCCAAAGGAACACATGATTCACTCCCTTCACGAAGTATGGTCTCAATGTGTCCTTGAAATGAGCGAGGCCACGATCCGGATCTCGGAGTAGGGCATTATCGAGCATCGACTTATAAAAAGAAGCGGAACCAATGAGGGCATTCTTTAATGATGGTCCGTGTTTATCTGCATCCAATGTTGTGATCCCTAACCAGTCATCAATTAAATCTTCATATTCAAACCAGCTTGATTGGCCATCAAATTGGGGTGGAACCTTTGGTGTCATTTTGATGCCCATCCGATTTTCGGAATGACTGGTGGCGGCATATGCTTCAGGCTCTTCATAAGAGACAATCTGGAGTTGTTCTTCATCTGAATCCATGTTGTGGATTAAGACCATGGCAGCTACTCTAACTTGACCTACAGGTTGCCTCCGCAAGTCCGATATACGGAATGTATGCAGAGAACGGCAGTTCGGCACACAGATCTAGACTTGGCGAAGGCACAGGCTCCGCTACCACTTTGAGGTAGCTTTTCCCTCTATTAGGGGAGCCCTGGAAACCTAAATAAACACCTGTGGCAAGCGGAAGCGACTACACTCTTTTTGTACACGCGGAATTGCTGCTAGTCTTGAGCCATGCGGAGTGCGCATGAGAGATATGAATTAAGTATACATGTCAACATGCATGAATGCATTGTGAAGACACGTAAACAAAAATAAATCACAGGGGGAGGGGGAAGATCTCATATGGGGCCAGTATATGGGACCCATCCCATGGGGGTGGGGGGGAGGGGGGGGGTGGCAGGGCCTGGTGCACATATCCAAATGTATCCAAACCGTGGGGATACACTACGGCATACGACGGACTACAGGGCCTGGAAGATAGCAGGAGAATTGGGTGATGGGTGGTGAAGCATGATGAAAGGCCACTCATTATCTTTGCCCCGAGGTCCCAATGAAACCGGTCCCACCTCTTCCACTAAGCTCAGGAAGCCAGCCGCTACATCAATGGAGACGACGCAAAGGTCGAAAAAGAACCATGTCTTCAGATAGCGGCAGGCAATGGCCTGGCTCCCAGCGTCAGCGCATTGACACTGGGACTGTATGTAATAAGTTGTGACCTGCTGACGAATGTGCAAAGCATTGTCAAGTAGTAGTTGTTTTTGTAATATGGCTAAGGGAGCCAGCGCATTGGATCGATATTATATAGTATGGATAAAAATTGGGCCCCAATGGGCCCACCAAATTTGCCGTTTCTTGACATTAAATATATAACCATCCGTTGGAAAATATCCTGCCGGGCTCACTCGGCGAGAAAGCTGGAGGACGCCCTGCATGTAGAAACCGGTGCTGAAGTTCAGGTAGATATCCTGGATCCGGTTCACTATGTTCACTGTGTTACTTGCTCCGGGCCCAAAGTAATTATGACCAATCCCTTCCCCCTTGAAACACCCTCCAGAAACCATGGTTTAGTAGGGGGTCTAACACATGTCTACACATATTTGGGATCATTCAGCGGGTATTTTTCATATTGGGGGGATGGGATTCATTAGAAATGACTTGACTTGGAGAACCTCTCTTACTGGTCAATGGTCAAGGGGATCAGGCGTCTAAAACATCCTGAAGCGCGACAGGATTATGATAACCGCCTAGGGTTCAGCCACCCATCCCAAATATCTGGTCAAGATAAGAGACGAGAGTTTCTAACAACGATGATAAAATAAGTAGTCAAAAAAGTGATGTTAAAAAGAACATGACAAGTGATGGCTGTTTGAGACCATGATTGCACCCATGGCGTACAGAAATTCTTTCATCTTCGAGGTGCCGCAGGCCAAAAGACCATGGACACAGCTGCAAACCTGGGCGGCTCATGGAAAGTTTCAGGATACACCCGATAAAAAAATGCAAGTTTAATGGCGAAATAATGGTGAACAATTATGTTTAAATCGTGGAAAAATCCATACAATTTTCAGGCCCATGTTCTGCACCCATCAGGGACCCGGGACTACAAGGGCCTTTGAGGCGAAGGTGGCGCCAAGATGCAGATGCAGCATCCCGTGCGACCGGGAATTTGGCGTTGGAAAGGGCGTTAAGGTCAAATTCCAAGCAATACCTCGAGCACAGAAGAGACTTCAAAAACGAACAACGCTCCAGAGTATAGCAGAGTCTTTGGCCCATGGCTTCGATCCCCGGTGGTCGGTAGATATGTGCAACGGCTACTCAAATGTTACATACATATATATATATATATATTTATATTTATATTTATTTGTTTATATGTAATTCATATATATATATATTATATATATATACATTATGATGTCCATGTCCTGAGTGGCATGGTCGGTATGCACTCGCATGGGCAAATCCAGGGATGCCCCGTTGGCATATCAAACAACCACAGCAAGACCACTTCACTCTGCATCGAGGTACACATTGGCAGCATAAAGGCATCCATGTAGATGAGGCAGGCCCCGAAAATGTCCCAACAAATGCGGAACTTGGAGTTAGGGCTAAAGACTCTCAGTGAATCACACCTGGGCAGCTCAGGCACGTTGAGGCAGCTGGGTGTAGATTGAAACAGGTCAACCTATCAATATCATCAATCCAGCGGCAAAAAGCCCTCCTTTTTTTCTGCACGCGCTGTCGGCTAATTGTGTGAGACAGGTTGATAGAGCCAGGCTACCAACATTCAATCTGCTTATGTTCCTATGATTGGGTATATTTATGTATATTATATATATATATATTTCCGTCCATTGTATATTTCCATTCATTATGGTAATATGTCCATTCAATCTGCTACCATCGCCTCACATGTATCTGGGGTTTGGGGTCCACCATGGCATCAGGGTCAGGAAAAACATCACAAAGAGCTGGTAGATGAAGCGTTGCCAATACGGCGGCGGCGGCGCTGCAGGTGCTGCAGGCGCAGCTGCAGGTGCAGGGTCAGCTGCTGAAGCCTCTGATTCCGGTTGTCTGACACTTTCCTGGAGCTCAGGCAGTGAAGACATATGCCAGTGTGGGTGTGTATTGCATATAGGTCACCTTATAGATGGATGAGATTGGATCAGATTTCAACTTCGATTAGACTTAGATTTGGATTGGATTTACATTAATTAGATTTGGTAGACTGAATTTAGAGTAGATATGAGCAGATTTAGATTTAGTTTCATGAGATTAGATTCACAGGCATATGGGGCTATAAGTTTAAGCAATACCGGGTATGGAACCCAACCGAACAAGGATTCATGGGTGTAAATTGGAATGGAAGCAGCCAATGACCTACATGGGCTGATAGACATGCTTCTCCTTCCTTGGCATTCTGTATGTCATTTATATAGGACAGACGCTTCTTGACTTAAAGCATGTCCGTTCCCGCAAACAAACCACAGGTATGGATGAATGGATATGGATATGGATATGGAGATGGAGATGGAGATGGATATGGATATGGATGGACATGAATGGATATGGATGGATGCATGCATGGGTATGCGTGCGTATACCGTACATACGTGCGTGCGTGCGTACGTACGTCTGTCGGTCTGCCGGTCTGTCGGTCTGTCAGTCTGTCGGTCTCTCGGTCTGCCTGCCTGCCTGCCTGTCTGTAGGTAGGTAGGTATGTATGTATGTATGTGCGTTTGTCGCTTTATCTATGTCAGTTAGTTTTTTAGTGTTGGGGGTGCATTTATGTCTGGTAATTCCTCATGACCTCCACCGCCCTTAGAGAAAATTAGATGGCATCAGATTGATCATTTGAATAATTATTTGAATGTCATCATATGATCATTCTTATGTGTGTGTGTGTTTACACACTTACAACACCAAATGTGCCTCAAATGACTCCATGCTCCCCCAACAAAAAAAGTTGCCGGAATGCCCCTCCCAACTCCGAGCTTCGGCACTTTCGCCCTCCGCGGCCGGTCCCTCAGGCTCTGGCTGCTCCGCCTGCGCAGGGACTGGGGCCTCCCTGGCGTTGCGCCGCAGGGCGTCCAGCTGATTCTCCAGGGCAGGTGCGCCATTGAACCATTCGATCCAGCTGTCGAACATGCCCCCCAAAAAAAGAACTGACACCAGAAAATAAACCACCTCAGATTTGAGATGCCCAAATCCAATGGTCGATCTTATTTTTTCTCGGTAAGATTCTCATGAATTTGGGGGTATATCGTGTACCCCATGCACCTAATTCATGAATCTTAATGACAAACGGCACAACTCAGAACCAACATCACAAAAGCCGCTGGCTCTAGAACTGCACTGTACCTGGTCTGTATCCTCAATATGTTACACTACACTCAAAGGATACAACTCAACAACGAAAAAGGAGATTGCAAATAGCAAACCCAATATAACCCAATGTCTGGAGTGAGAAACATACCAGCTCCACTTGAGCTCCATTAGGAACATCACCAGCAGAACCTTAAAGAGCAAACTGAGTCGTTGCCGCAAGGCCGGAAGGCGGTTCTCCTGTGCCCTGGCATCGTCCCCTGCGTCACGCCCTAGCCCTTGCCCTGCGTCACGCGGCGCATTGGCCCTGGCTTCAATCATCCAATACTCCCCAGCGAAGAGCAGGGTCACGCCCAGTAGGATGATGTGCCACTCCAAAGAGGCGGCTCTCAAAACAAAAGCCAACACCACACCTGCGAAGAGCCCAGGATTTTACCATTTATTTATAAACGATGTTGAAAGCACAAATTCAACTGTCCAGAACCAGCCTCCCGGGTTTGGGACATCAAAATAGTAATTGAAAGGTCAATTTTCCACCCAGAAACTCTTCACGAACAATGGAAGGAGTCTGCGCTGCATCTGCTGGTTCAAGAGCTCTGCCGGATCCGCAGCTGCCGCATGTTCTTCCCGTTCCTCCCTTCGTTGAGCCGCCCTGGCCGCCTCCGACACATTGCGGACGTTCGTCAGCACTTCCGCCGCGGCAAACAGGGCATCGGAGGTGTCCGCCTCGCGTCCAAAGACGGAATTTTTCTTCTTGGGCTTGGTCTGCAAGTGCTGCTGCATATAATTTCCTGGGATCTCAACCCAAAAAAAATTAGTCATTGGGGGCCACCACCCTGAAAAATGATGAAAAATGAAAAATGTGTGAAACTGGTTGAAATATGTTGAAATGATGTTGAAATGACTGAGTTTCTGAGCTGAAAGATCTGCAGTTCCACCTGCTGCAACTGCAGCAGGGTGGTGTTCAGCATCCCCTGTGCGTAGAGAAGGTTGGCGGGATATTGCGACACCAGTGGGCAGTCATTGGTCTGTACCTGAGCATCCACTGTCGCCATAAAACTACCGCCCAGCAGTGCGCACTGCGATGCACTGCTTGAAGTTTGAGCACTGAAGGCCAACAAAAAACGAACATTAAGAGACAACCCACGAAACACCAGTGGCGTCCTTAGTGGCACCCAATGATTCACAAATAGATGGGAAATAGGGAAACAATGGAAAATGGAAGTCCTTCAGTCTTGCAGAGACGCAGTGGGACTTGGTAAAGGATCATTGGCGACTGGTGACTGGGGTGTGAAGGTGAAGGATCCTATCGCAATGCTGCTCTTTTGTCTGACTGGCATGGCCAGGCCGTCCACCTCCCAAAAAACTGGTCATTGCCTGGTCCCTGTCTTTTAGTTCATGGGCACCAACAAACTAGGAAATCCGAGTGCAGGAATTGCATGGAAAGTTCATCAAATCTGCCTATGGTGGGTTGTTGAAATATGTGTTTCATTGTCGTTATCCGTTTTGTCGATGAGTGACCCAGGATGAAGCAAGGCACCTGTCAAATTGAGAGCCACTTAGCTGCCCAGAGCTATTCCTGGCTGTTGATGGCCATCCGAAAAATGGAGTTATCACTCCTACAACCCTACAACCAACAACGAACGGGAATATAGCTAAACAATACCAACCGTACTGTGAATGTTGATTGCAAATGATTGCAAGATTTAAGTTGACTTCAATCATTAAATGAATCACCGTGGTTCTTTACAAAACTGAAGCTCCTGTCAACTCAGCAGCTGGAACCCTGTCCCCAATCCTTGTAGTGACGCGTCTCATGCTGGGCGTGCGATGAGAAGTGATCTCCGATTTAAACTTCTCGCGGCCACCAACGCCCACAGCCTCTTGGGCCTGGGGCTGCGTCAAAATCTGCATCACCAATGGTAACAGTGGCGGTTCGGATTCTCCTTGTTTTCTTGCAGTTGTTGTTTGATTGTCCTAGTTGCCCTCCTTCGCGATAGCCACAAATAATCCACTAATGTCCTTAATCTTGATCCGCATCAGAATCATCGTCGTCGTCATCATCACCATCACCATCAACAGCATCATCATCCTCATCCTCATCATCAACGTCATCATCATTAACAACATCACCACCATGATCATCATCCCCATCCTCATCCTCATCCTCATCCTCATCTTCATCATCCTCATCCTCATCATCATCATCATCACCATCATCATCATCATCATCATCATCATCATCATGACCACCATCATCATCATCATCATCATCATCATCGTCATCGTCATCCTCATCCTCATCCTCATCATCATCATCATCATCCCCAACCTAATCATCAATCCTCAATCATCATCATCATCATCATCATCATCATCACCATCATCATCATCGTCATCATTATCATCGTCATCAGTGTCATCATCAACAACAACAACAACCTCATCATCATCACCATCATCATCATCATCGTCATCATCGTCATCGTCATAATCATCCTCGCCGTTGATAAGAACTTTACCTTCTTAGGTCGCTTTCTTAACATCGCAATCTTATCCCCTCGCCTTCATTGACAGCTCCATGAGGTGGGAATTCAACCGCAAGGTGGGATGTGCAGTGAGCTCCTGGGCCCGTGGCTGCTTTGGTCCCTGCAGCTGGTGGTCCCGTGGTCCCCGGGCCACTCCTCCTGCACTTCAGCGCCCTCTTGTAGCACCAGGGCAGCCACACTCTTCTCCTCTAGCTGTTCCTGGATGCTGTCATGAGCTGACAGGATCGCAAACCATGTTGCTTCATGATCTTCAATGACATCAGAGTCTCTTGATTTCATAAGGATGTACCAACCCATTCACTTCTGATGCAACACCCAACATTGATCAAACTCCAACTGACTCTTGGGCCTTGTCAAAACAAGTATCGCAAAGGTTGCATCAGAATCAGGACCCTTGGCATTCATACAATACAATATCTATCATTGGGTGTAGTTAATGTTAGTGCGGAACCAAGAACAACACATACATACATACATACATACATATATATATATATATACATACATATATATATATATATATATATATTGCATATATCTATATACACAGAGAAATATCTGTAGATATATCTCAAAAAGGCATGGGCATTGTGAGTCTTGTGCAGCGTGCCTTCACCGGTAGTGTCAGGGCCTCATCATGTAGCACCCAACCCTCCAAGCTGGAGGGCTCAACCTGCTGGAGCAAGTGATCCCTCAGAGGTTGGAATCTGTCTGGGCTGAGGGGCGAACAGGTATGACCAGGTCGGAAGGCTGTTCATGCTTCATGAAAACATAGATATCATAGATATTCATAAATCATATAGTGATAATCTATAAATATTTATAATACTTGTTGAAATTCTTGTTGATATTTGTTAATCATATACAATATCTATGAACTGTCATCCTGAATGACCTCCAACAAAGCCCCCAGTTTTAGTTAAGAGCTCACACAGGTTCATGCTGTGCTGTCAACTGGGCCACCTTCTCAGCATCGACTGCTTGTGGTTGGCTCCCCAGATGCCTTCTTAGTCGCTACCAAGCGGAGGAATCAAATGCAATGCTTCGAGACGCCAAGCACAAAAAGCCCATGGGCATCCATGGGCGTTGAAGTTCGAACAGACTCTGTGACACTGTGATCAAATTCCGAGAAGTGGGGTGCAAATGTTGCAAAAAAGACTTTTAAGATGCACTTCGACAATTCACGTCAAAATACTCAGACCATGATTGAAGAGTAACCTGCGGTAACCTGCGCCAGCTTCCCTTCAGATTTACAAAAACTTTCAGTGGCCGCCTTGAGATATCGGCCTCTAGGCCCTTTTGAAGACTTTGCACCTGCATGTAGGCCACAAGTTTGGCAAATGAACTATCCAAGGCAGCCAAACAGTTTCCCCTGCCAATACAAACCATTGGAAACAAGATTGGTGTGGAATTTGTGCTTGATCTACGGCATACATGTCTCATCCATGGGCTACTGTAAAATATTGTCAAATTACATAGATTTCTTCAATCAATACGCGCACTGGTCTACCAACAAGCCGATGATTCGCGAGTGAATGCGGCCACCGTGCCACCTGCTCCTGAAGCTCATCGAAAGTCTTTCGCAGCTGAGCATCAACCTCCAAGAAACCTCAACGGTGCCAGCGGGGCATCAGCAATTGGTGATTCTGGCAGATACCCCAAGATCCAAGCCGACTTCACGGAAGTCAAGGATGTTAAGGATCTTTACAAATCTTAACACCAGCCCAGGTGCGGATTGACATAGTGATGCTTCAAATGTTTCAAAGTTGAACAAGGACCTGACAATCGATGCATACACAGCTTCCTCTGAGCTTGTTACGTTCTGAAAGTGCAATTTGCAGCTCCCGCGTCTCCATGGCAGTGGGCAAAGTTGCTCTTTGCTGCAACGTCTCAATGCTTTCTTTGCAGCTTCTGATTGCACACAACGGGCATGACACACGAGAACTGAGTGCTTAGGAGCGAAATTTGGGTTGAAATCGCGGGACCAAATACTCCTAGGATAGATCGATACCAACTGCATTCCTTGAGCCAACTGCATTCCATGTTCCCAAATGCGCTCCAAGGCCGATGTCATCATGGGAATCTAATCTACACTGAGCTTCTCAGAGACTCAGGGAGGGGCCCACCAAGCTTTTTGGATGTCAAAACTCCTGCGTGGCACTCTTAGAGGCACGGGGGCACCTGCGAACGTTGCCCTCTGCTGAGCAAGGCACATCCTTGGCGTCCACACTTAAATTTAAAGCTTGCTCGATGAAACCCTTGGCCCTTGACGGCACCCATAGCCTTCTGTACTTCGGGGAATTTCTGGGATCTTGCCCAGCCGGCATAGAGAGCCAGAAGCAATCAGGCACCATATCTAGCCATATCTAGCCATATCTATCCATACAATTCCATACATTTGAAACAATTTGGCCCGCTGGATCTGAGGAGCCAGCCGCCAAGACAGCCTCAGAAAAAGCAACGACATGAGAATCGACACTCCGCCGACATGATCTTCTGGGTGGTGGTTGCGCCACACATCCCACGCCTTGTCAAGCCGAAATACTGCAATGTAATGTAGTGTCATGTCATGTAATGCAATGCAATGCAATGTAATGTTGTGTTAATTACGTTATTATATGATATGATATGCATGCATGTACGTATCTATGTATGTGTATGTGTATGTCAATGTCAATGTCAATATCAATGTCAATGTGTGTGTGTGTGCGCTCATGTGCATATATCACATATATATATATATACACATCGTATGCCATATACATATACGTTCACATTTACTTACACTATATACTGTACATAATATCATACAATATACGCATCTATATATATATATATGTCATATATACATATATAAATACCAAATATATTGTTAATATATTATGTATTGTTAATATATAACACATTGTTAATATATAATATATTGTTGATATATAATATATTGTTAATATATTGTTAATATATTGTTAATATATTGTTAATATATTGTTAATATATTGTTAATATATTGTTAATATATTGTTAATATATTGTTAATATATTGTTAATATATTGTTAATATATATGTATATATATATATTATATTAATACGTATTTATTCATTTATTTGTTTATTCATGTGCATTTATACACCAATGTATAAGAATAATCATATAGGAAGATCTTGAGGAGGCTGATAGGCCGAATTTATATTTCATCCATTGCCAGGTCCCACAGCTTATGCATCCCCACATCAAAGCACTCCTTCGCTGACCAGTGCAGGTCTCTACCATCCGCCTTTGTCACCTCAGGTCGTTGGGGCAAACGCATCCAAATCACCAAAATGGCCAGTTTGAGCCTCTAATCATCCAACTGTTCAAAGTCGGAAATGTACTGGAAGTTCTATACCAAGTCGGCTATCCTTCAGCACTTCGGTGGTCTATCTTCCATTGTAGCTCCCCAATTCCGCAACCGCCAAACCATGCCCGGCAAGGCACCAAGAAGTTCGTAGCCCCAGCCTGTGGGTGTCGCTTGCCGATGAAAAAATGTAGGAAACCTGGTAGGAAACTGA